TTATTGTGAACGACCAATAATCATAGATTTCTCTGACTAGATAATCTTATATTAAAAATTTAAAATTTTAACAAACCGATGGTAGTTTAGTGGTCATAGTTATGTAGGCTTGGGAAAGTGATTAATTTTTGTGAGCTTTGATTATCCAACATCCATAAACTTAAATAATCTCAACTTTGATTACTACAAAATTTAATTAGTGGTCTAAAAGGGAGCTTAAGCTTGAAAGTTAGTCTGAATTACGGCTGATCCTCGGGCCATATATATTAACGAAGATGTAATGAATTATTGTCTTATATGCAGAATAATTGACCCTATCATGTACATCAGTACATCAGCACATGCATGCAATGGTTCACTGTATTTTTATATTTTTTACATATTTATGTTTTAAAATATCGGAGGTTAGCTGATTGAAACGTTATTTTAGAGAGGAGGGTACTGTTTTATTTTATTTTCTTCCTATTCGTAGGAGTTTAACATGCTGATGGCATTCCCTTTTTTCTCCAGGTGAAGTGAGAGTAAAATCAAAGCTACGAAATTTGTTTTTTTCTTTTTCTTCTGAAGATAACACTTTAAATTTTACGGAATGGTTGGTTAACACATATGCAATGTGTAAAATAAAAATTGTGTAAAAGAAAACGCACTCTTGATTGTAAGTAAGGTGTTAAATCCATTTTCAACCAAGAGTTCTTACGTAGGTGTCTCGGCTTAAGAGTTTAAGAGTTTAAAAATCAAACTAAAATTATATATAATCTAATTTAGCAGAGCTTAACGTTTGATTTATAGATTCCGTTTGATATAAAATAACTCCAGGTAGGCAGGTATATGTTTTTTTAAAACAACGTTGAGGGAGATTGATAGATCGCATGATGTCTTTTTTTTTTAGTGTCTGGGAAAGTACAAAACCCTCAAGAGCTCAGAGAAGCTAGCCTAGCTAGATGCCTATGTAGGTCTACGAGATCTCTGTCTTTTCTCTATGGCTCTATCTCTATTCACATCGATCGCCGTAAATCGCTCTGTGATCCAACGGCTCTTATTAGCTCGCTTTCCACGACCCGATACAAAGGAAACTAGTCAACATTATAATAATACAGATGAGAGAGAATTTGTCAAACCACCTTTGGTTTGTATTTTTGATGAAAAGAATTTATTTTGTTACTGTTGGAAGTAGCTGGTAACACAATAGTGGAAACCTCTTTGTCTAACAGTTGATCACATTTTTAATGTTTTTATACCAATTACAGAATTCTTTTTTTGGTTAAAAATAATGACAGAAGTCGATTTTCATACACAACTTTTTTTGAAGATTATGGATGCTATGCAAAAATTATTTTTTTCAGTATGATGCATCATGATCACATTAATAAGCAATTATCTTCAAAATTTGTTATACACAAAGATCATCTCCAACCATACTCCAAATTTTACTCTAAAATAGAGTTTGGAGTAACATTCTCTCAAACCCTACTCCATATCTCATTCCAAAATGGAGTAAAAAATGAAGTTACTCCAAATATGAAGCAAAAAATAGAATTTTTCTATTTTTTTTGGTTATGACTCCATTTTAGAGAAAAAATAGAGTTTATATTGGAGTAAAACACAACTTCATTTTGGAGTTATTTCAAAATAGAGAAAATAGAGAAAATTATGAAGTTATACATGGGAGATGCTCTAATGACCGTTTGACAAATGCATAGTATCTAATCAAATTAATCATATATTATTAACAATTTCTGACAGTTTTATTATAAAGTTAGGTATTTTTCACCAATATGCATTAAACTGTTTGAATCCACGTGGTGATCAACAACACTAACACAAACTACTAAACTATATTATATGATATAACTAATATACTTAGTTTTGTCACTTGACAAAAGGTAAGATTTCTTACTTGATTTCGGAGAAGTTCGTGCTTTATGCTTTCGAAATTCTTCTACATATTTTGATTAATGGAACTGACCCAATTTGGCAAGAAATGAAAAGTTGGCTGAAAAGCTAACACAAGACTGACAAGCAATACAAAGTCATGTAGAAGGGAAATAGTAAACATATATTTACACATACCGTTTTTTTGTTGTTTGGTCAACACCGTTTACCGTTTAACTGCCCAATAGTAATCTACTCAAAAAAAACACACGACTTTTTATGGCATGTGACTGATGGTATCTAATGATTAACACCCCATAAATCTATACGAGTCCAGCAGGTTGGAGCTAAGGTAAACTCTCAAATGCGAAAACTATCATCTCAAAAAAAAATTATTACATGAGCGTTCAATTTAAAATCTATTGATAATAACTGATTAACCATATTAAAAAATTGTTTCAGGTTATATCTTATTTCAAATGTAAGATTTTAACACCATTTAATATAATAATTTTTCTATTCAGTTATTTTGATAGAACCTCTAAGATCAATTTCGAGTCAGATCAGCTGCATCAATTTGGGGTCAAATCTATAACAGGTAGAATTGATTGGATCAGAAATTTTGTATATTAAAATGAATTCAGTTTAGGTTAGATCGACCGATCAATATATGTTATAATTTTTTCTAACATGCTAAGTTTTATGATTTTTTTGTTCAAATGTTAATTGAAAATAAATAGATTAATTCATGTAATATTTTTCTTTATTTTCTGGTCAGACTCTAAAATTTTATTCAAATGTGAAACTCGTTACATGCTTTTTTCGAATTTCCTTAGATATGCTTTCCATTAGTTCTTTGATCTCGTTCACCAAAATCCAAAAACAAAAACAAGAACATTATATTTTTGGTGTGCCTTCAAGAGAAAAAATCATATGGGTGTCAATAAATTTCATAGATATATATATATATATATATATATATATATAATGGTGTTTCGACCTTCTATCTCTTAGAGTTTGAGAGTACACATTGATAATTCAAGTAAAAGCACAAATCATTTCTCTTTGTACATAAAATTTCACTTGAACTAGTTTCCCGTGATACTGAACATATATTTTTGAGCTAGTACAGCTACGTATATAATAGCACCATTGTATATATATGACTTCGGATCTGATAATATATACAGACAAAAAATCCTGAATTTATTGGTAAAAATAGAGAGTCATAGGTCATATTCACAGTCCATAAAAAAACTACTTACTAGTAGATCATTGCTTTTCTTTGATCATGTACGGCTAGGGATTATTGTTATATACAAATATAATTTGAATGCTAATTTTTAAATTTTAAAAATAAAACCAGAGTGTCTCTTTGTGTGGGGGGGTCCTCAATGATCTGTAAAATCTAATGAGAAGGAATTGAATAAGTTTGGCAATACTAAGGTGGGGATCTTTTCTTCCTTTACCATTCTAAACCTATCTCCTCTCTTCTCTTCTGTTCATCTCTCTCTCTCTCTCTCTCTCTCTCTCTCTCTCTCTCTCTCTCTCTCTCTCACTCTCTCTCTCTCTCACACACACACACACACACACACAGACACACACACACCTTTGTTAGATCATAGATGCTCTGACCTCCACGGGGAGGGATGTGTGGGAAATCACATGCTGTTGAGAGGATCGCGAGCTATTTTAAGTATAGTTGGGTGTCAAAGAGATCTGGCGCACTGAGCTGCTTTGACTCTTGTGCCAAAAACAAGATAGAGCAATGTTTGATTGTATATTTCACAACTCATGCTAGGATTGATGGCCGTTACAACAAAATCTATAATCTTAGGTACTATAACTAGTACTATTACTAGGGGTTTAAGTAGATCCACAGAGTTTTTTTTTTGAAAGATGATAACACTAATTCCTTTGTCATTTCGATTGGATTTTTATAAATAATACTAATTGAATTTCTTATTTATTTATTTTTCATATAAATGAATTGTTGAAAAAATTTTAAATATTATTTCAACAAATTTTACTATAATTGTTTTCTACTGATACGTTTTAATTAATACCATCATAAAGTAAAAAATAAGGACACCATTTAGGTTGATATTATATCAAGAAAAAATTAAGTGCTTATTTGATACAATACGTTTTTAGTTTAAGGAACATGAGAAATCCAAATTTTGACTTTTTTTTTCTATTGTAGAACCTGGAGATCTAGGAAACCCTAGATTTGAAAAGACTACAAGTAGAATGATCTTATTTGTTTCAATTATCATCATGATTTGTGTGGCTCTCACCCTCCAATTTTTATATAAATTAGAGTTTTATTTTTTTTAAAAAAATTATGTCTCTCTAGTGGGGTAAGAAAATTACAGATAGGGTTTGTTCTGAATGGGGTCGCTCAGTACCATTCCACATACACACAGTTTGTCTCATGTGTTTGGTTTCGTATGGGCGCTATGGACTCACGTGAACCTCTAAATTAATTAATAATATTTATAAATATATACTTTCTATTTCTCTACATTTTATTGACGACCCAATCACTATTAATCAGTTCAATTATCCATTGTCTTAAACCAACCCAAGAAATAATCAAAATTATCTTTAAATCATCATATCACCGTATTGAATCGCATGTCCTAACCATAGCATAGATAAAGAAAGCCAGACTTCAGACTCAACTATATGATCGGAATTTAGAACATCCGGAAAATTTGGATCGTTCTTGTCGAATCGTTATGTTGCTGTTCGCTTATAAACTAAATCGATAGTTGATAAAAGAAAATCCATAGTTTTTTTTCACAATCCATAGGGTTTATGACTATATAAATGCCTTTTCTATTTATTCTTAAATCGGGTTTTCTTAATTTTTACTATATTCTTTTTTGATTTTTAATAATTTATTGATATATTTTTTAAGAAAAATTAGTCCAAATTATAATTCGAACTAAATCTGTCGTGGGTCCGATCGAGCGTAGGATTTAACAATAGTATTTTTATCCATGTCTTCTAAAATTTACTGTATAAGTTGATGTATACATAGATATAACTAAAGTAATTCCAGACCCACATAAACCATATATATATATATATATGTATGCATGTATATGTGTGTTTGGCTCGTGTCTCATCTCATGGTCTTTAAAAAGGATCAAACATAGTATAGCTTGGACTCTTTTGCCGTCTATGATCTCTCTCGATCTCTCATCTTAGCTCTCTCTATCTCTCTTTGTGTTTTCATCTCTCTTTCTCATCAATGGGTTCGAATTTTCATTACTCTATAGATCTTAACGAAGATCAAAACCATCAAGAAGAGCCCTTTTTCTATCCTCTTGGATCCTCTGCGTCTCTTGTTAATCATCATCATCATCATCAAGTTCCTTCTAATTCTTCATCTTCGTCCTCTTCCATGTCGTCTCTATCCTCTTATCTCCCTTTCTTGATCAACTCTCAAGAAGATCAACATGTTGCCTACAATAACACTTATCATGCTGATCATCTCCATCTTACTCAACCCCTTAAGGTATATAGGTGTTTATAACCACATATTCATATATCAACCTTAATTGTGTGTATAAATATTATTCTTGAATGATCTTTTTTTTTTTTTCATTTAGTTGTTAAAATTATGCATGATCATGTAATTTTCATACAACATGTATTAGTTTTTGAATTTGTATTGAGAAAATATTACATAAAAGAATTTTAGATGATCAAATAAAAGGGGGAATCTTAAGAAACGACTATATAAATCATTATTTTGTTCTGTTAAATATAAACGTTGATCGTTGATATATATATCAGGCCAAGATCTTTAACGGTGGATCATCATCATCAACATACGATCTCATGGTGCCAAAGAAGGAGACAAGACTGAAACTAACGATAAGGAAAAAAGATCAGCACGAAGACCAAACCGACTTTTTTCATCAAAACCCGACAAAGCTCAATTCAGACTCCGACAAGTGGCTGATGTCCCCAAAGATGCGGTTGATCAAGAAAACAATCACCAACAATAAACAGCCCATTGATCGCACTAATAATACTAATAATAATCATACAGAAGAACACTACCCTTTAAATCATAAGACTAGTTTCGAAGAAGATCACGATGAAGATCTCAAGAAAGTGTCAACCAGGACAACGACAACGGAAAATCGCTACAATACAATCAACGAGATTGGTTATGGTAATAACAATGGCGTGATTAGGGTTTGCTCTGATTGTAACACCACCAAGACTCCTCTCTGGCGAAGCGGGCCTCGAGGTCCCAAGGTAAATTAATCGAACTTTCTTGATAAAATCTCATATTACATATACCTTAATTCAAATTTGTAGAACACATAATATAGGTATGTGTCAAGAACGCAAAGATATATAATTTATTCAATCCTAATCAATCTTTAGACATAATGACGCTTTTATCCTTAATGATATATATACGAGTCCAATATTATGTGACAGTATTAATCTTCATTTGTTTGGATTTTTTCGATCCATTATAACTCACAAACGCTTATTAATTTTCACATTTTTGTTTTATTACAGTCTCTTTGTAACGCATGTGGCATAAGACAAAGAAAGGCGAGACGGGCGGCAATGGCTGCAGCCGCAGCTGCCGGCGATCAAGACGTGGTGGCAGCGCGGCAACAATTACCGGTGAAAAAGAAATTACAAAACAAGAAAAAGCGATGTGACAAATACAATCTGTCTCCTCCGGTGGTGGCCAAAGCAAAAAAGTGCAAGATCATAGAAGAAGAAGTGCCGGCGATGGCTGCCGGAGATTCGGAGATCAGCAAATCAACAACTTCTTCTGATTCTTCAATTTCGTCGAACAAGCTTTGCTTTGATGACTTGACGATAATGTTGAGCAAAAGCTCAGCTTATCAACAAGTGTTCCCACAAGATGAGAAGGAAGCTGCTATTTTGCTCATGGCTCTGTCGTATGGAATGGTTCATGGTTGATCAGATAATTACAATTATCTTCTGATGACAAAAAGAGGTTTATTTTTATAGTTATATATACCAAAGTAATCATAATAATGATTAATTGTTAAATCCTTGAGTGATTAAAGTAGTTTTTGCAGCTGGTCTACGATAAAACTTTTAAAAATAAGTGTGTGAGAGTCTAATATAATAATAATAATTAATAGCTCTATATATATGTTTTGGGAGATTTTGGTTTAGGGTTTATATGTTGCGTTTTTCCCCGATGGAACATTAATCACCCGATAATGTGGGCTCTTGTTCATTTACATCTTTATATTGTGTAACGTGATTTGAGAATTTATATTGTAATGAATTAAGAGTAATTTTATTATCTTTGATCTTGATTACATACATGATACATGTCATCACAATTTAGACAATCATAAATTGGTGAATGGTTGGTATCACTAAGTAAATAATTTTCGAAGCTCATACTAATTATGTGACATAACCATTCAATTTTCTTTTTAAAAAAGCTTGAAATTGTATATTAATTGGATTCCATCGTATGTGAAAAATATACTGAACACAGAATATATAAGTGGTTAAGCAAAAAAAGGAAAGAATGATTATATACAAGTGGATGAGGTGAGCAAAGATGACAGATATAAGAACATATGAATGTGTGTATAAGACAAGAGATCATGTGTTAAGAAGATAATGCGTTTGTGTTGCATTTTAAGGCGACGACATATCAAGTTAAAAGAGATCTTCAACAATTTGCAAGCCCACATATTTTTTCTTCTATTTTTTTGTTTCATAAAATTATCGTACAATTTCACTTTCCTAGTTTCACAAATTATATACGGGGTTCACCGTTGACATAATTCGAGAGAAGTTCTTTTCTTTTTTCTGCATGTAATTTAGTTCCTGCTTAATTAAGTTCATCTGTATTGTACTTTGCCATGATAAAAATATATATCCGAAGTGCACACGTGTGAAATCCAATTATTTTGATAATTCTTAAGTTTTGTAAACGTTCTACATAATTTAAATTGGGATTAAATGGTAAGAACGATATGAATATTACCTAATAAATATCAGTTTCTGACAAAATACATTTTTAAAGAAAAACATCATTTTAGTCTAGCTATTATTATTTATTAGGAGAGAATCCGCGCATATGCGCATATCTTATTTTAATTTATATTTTAAATAATACATTTTAAGAATTTGTATTGAATTTTATGTTTACTATCAATGTTTTTGCGTTTAAAATATTTATATTTTCTTCGATTTTTTCTTAATAATATATTATTTGTAATTTCTTATACACCAATTATGTCAAATAATCTAATTTTTTTCTAAGATAATCAGAAACTAAAATCTATTATTTAATTTTTTGTATAAAAACGTAATAATTTACTTAAAAATATACGTTGAATATCAGAGAGAAATATACATTTTAATTTTTTTGGTTAAATATATTTGATTGATTCCATATTTTTTTATTTAAAAAAAAACCATGTATGACATTTTTGTGTTGACACTCTTCTTTTTACTATTATTTTTAAATAACTTTTATTTTTTTATTAAATATTCTTTGTGTTTTATAATTTTATTATTTGGAGTTTTATATAAGATTATTTTTTAAACTTCTTAACTTATTTAGTCACAATTGTTTTTCACTTGAATTAAATTTTAGTTATATTTTTAGTTTAAAAATTAAGTTTAAATCACTGAAAAAAATTAGAATGATGCATTTAAAAGTTCTATATTATATAGTATTTATAATTTTTATATATTAAAAGTAGATTTAAATTTTATCCTAATATATATATGTATATATTAATATTTATTTATGTTTTTAAATGTGTTTGTTTGAAATTTCATTAATTATTTATTTTATTAAATATGGGACAGGTGTCACTCTCCACTGCTGAGGTGTCATTCAGCTGGAGAGTTGATTGTCTTTTTTTATATATAAGATTTTAAAAACTGATCTATATTTCTACTGCAAATGATGTCCCCTATTTACATGTTTCGTCTATATGGGTTAAATTAGTTCATAAAACAACAATTGAAAATTAGAATTTAATGCAATTAAAAAAATGAATACTAGTGCAGCAGATAGGACAAACATATCTAACAAAATCATGCACTCTATAGAATCTGTTAGAGAACCTAAACATTTCTAAACAGAAATCAAGCATGGAATGATGGAATGAGGCAAAAAGCATAAAATTGGCATTAAGAGAATGTTAGTTAGTTTAGAGTACTTTAATAAACAAGTAGTGGGTCCCTTCGGGGACATCCGATAAAAAAAATAAATAAACAAGTAGTGGGTCCCTCTCCGTTCCTCAACATTCAAAATCAAAATTTCAACCACAAACACATATTTCCATCTGATCCTCCATTTTTGATTTTTCCCTCACTCTTTCTCTTCTTCCACAACAATCAAATTTAACGAATCCTTAAATCCCAAATTTTAACGAATCGAAATTACAACATTCGATAAATGCCAGGAACTATACAAGTTTCAGGTAAGATCAACTTTCGATTTGGGGCAAAAAACCCTTTTTAGGCTTATTTTTAGCACTAATTGAAACTTGTCTTGTTCAAATCCTCAGTTCTGGGTCTTAGGGATGTTCAGACATCTTCTTCTCCAGGTTCTTCAGACACTTCCATTAAAGGTCTTAACTTTTTACTATTTCCTAAATCGATTTCAAAGTTCCTTTATCAACGAACGCTTAAAAAATCCATTTTTGTTTACTTGTCTACTTGTATCAGTTGCTATGGGGAAGCTAGAGTATCGAACTTCGGATTCAGGAGACTACATTTTGTAATTTCACTACTTTGATCCTTTTGTATTCCAAATTTTTCTAAATTGTGAAGTTTTGACACTTTCTTGTCTCTTTGATGCAATGTGGTAACAGTCCAGTTACGAGGCTCCGAGAAAATTTGATCGTTAGTCTGTTAGATGTCAATGGAAACGGAATATTACACAGAGGTAACTTTCTTAAAACCCTAGTCCCTAGAGATCAAGCTGATGGTTTTGTTAGATCAATTGATTTCTGAACTTGAAGATTTTTTTTGGAGGTAGAGATAGAGACCAGAATGATAATAGAGAGTGGCTTATTGGAAGAGAAACTTTCATTCAATGGGTATGGAGATGTCGAATTGAGAATGCAGTTTTTTCTTAGTGAAGAAGATCGTAATCGCATACGTTTTCTGGTACCACAATTCGTTCTTTTGTTCTGTTCTTGTTCATTGAGCTCTGCAAAATTCCAATCTTGATGAATCCATTGGTTATTGATTGCTTTGAAAGAGACAATCTGCATTGAGAAAGAAGCACGAGGAGCTTGTCAATGGCAGTTTTTTTACCAAATCTAAAAGCATTGCTTCAGGTTAATCTATGAAATGAAATAGGAATTTTTACTCTCCTATTATTTTTTTTTTGGTGTGGTCTTACATTGTTAAGTTTGCGTTTCTAAATGTTTGTTCTTTTCTCCGGCTTGTCTTTCTCTTGATGTTATGAGAGATCTGTCTTCTTTAAGTGCAATGCAAACCCGAGAAACCATGGCTGCTGCTAGTCCAAAGACAATTCTTGGTCTTTCTCAAGAAACCGAGCTTAAAGTATGATTACTAGTCACTTTGATACCGCTTTTTGCTTATTCAAACTTTAAAAGATTTCAACTTTGGCAACTTATCGTTTCACCTGATCTAGATTAGTGCAGATAGAGAACTGGTTTCTTCAAATCTTATAATGTGGAAGCCTGAAGTAAAGGACATAGTTGAGAAGACGAAAAATCAACCATCTTCTTCAGATGTTTCTTCAATCAAGAAGTCTTCAAGCAAGAAGCTTTTAGAGGTTAAGAAACCCGAGAGTGTATCTTTAGTGAAGCAAGAAGATAAAGATTTGAGCAAACAAGAAAGAATTCCTCCTAAACGGAAATCAATGAGGCGGAGTATGTCGGAGACAAACTTGAGTAATGTGCGGAAAATGATTAGCACCTTTGAGATTAAAGTGACTCAGGTCTTTCTTTTGGGGTTTTGAGTATGAATCTTTGTGATCAGTATCTTTATAAAACTTCTTTGATTAAGATTCTCTAGATGTTTTTGACAGGATACAAAACTTCAGAGAGCGAAGATTCAAACTGATTCTTGTAAAGATGTGACGGAGAAAACCAAGGCGCAATCACAACCGGAAAGCTCTGTGAATGTAGAGAAACCGGAAGAAAAGAAGATAAGCTCTGAGGATATGGAGAAGACGGTGTGTGTAGATAACACAGAGAGATGTGATGATTTAGTTATAGTTTCAAGAGATGAAAGTACAGTAGTTATAGAGGAGAAGAGTCCTGAACAGATCACTAGAAGAAGTGACTCTGTGCGTTTGAAAGATTATCAACTTGAGAATGCGCGAGGATCACGTCTCTGGATATTTCCAGACGAGGCAAAGGATTTGTCTTGCGAAACAGATTTTGGAACAAGACATTTGGATTTGAGAGAAGCTACTTTGGTACAAAAGAAGACAGAAGAATCCACCAGGGAAAATATCGGTGAGGTAAAAAAGCAGTGGCCTTGGTGGTTTTTATAATATTTGTATGGTATATCTCAGGTTATGCGTTTACTCTGAAACATTTTCAGAGGGGATTCAGCTGCAGAAGCATCGCGAAAATGAATAGCAACAACAAGTGGAAGAACATTGAGAGATCAAAGAAACAGAAGTCTGAGACATATGCAGATTCAGAAAGTTCAAGAGGACCTGTTGGGCAGGTGGGTTTATGAAACAGACATGTTTCAGGGCTTATTGATAAACCGAAAAAGATCAAATCTTTTCATCATCTTTTTCGTAATTTTCAGGTGATGCGTGCATTGATTGTGGTGGGTTTTGCAGGCTTGGTGTTTTTGACACGGCAGTGAACTTAAACAGGTTTGTGTTCTGCAAGAATTTGAAGCCTTTTTGAATGTTGGTTCATTTCTTGTTATGTAAGGAACTTAAAGTAGGTTCCTTGTGATATAAGCTTTCCTGATATTTCTTTCCTTCTTTGATACATTCTGCAGATGAACCGCTGTATTTGAGTCTTTGAGATGGTACTATTGGATCAATTCTTTTTTAAACCAGGCTGTAAAAGATTTCACGTTGCACATAATAATAGTATGGTTATGACTTATGACGATCAAAAACATACAAAGCTTCAAGCTTGATGATTGACTACACAGAGTTCTTCTTGGCTAAATTAATTACTCAGTCGAAACAAGAAATGGCTACGGTTAAAACCAGACTGTAGTATTGAATCAAAATATATTCGGACGGATTGTAATAATAGTTTACAATATTGAATCAACACTTTTATAAACCAGACTAATATATTGTATTTACTATTAATTCTTATAAGAGTATTCAGAAATATGCTTATAGCTAGGCGGACAAGTTATATTAAAGCTTAGCTTTGATGATTGATTTGTACATAGTTGAAACAAGTTCAAGGCTAGAGTTAATGATGTTTTTTTTTCCTCATTCTTCTGGGTGCCAGTGGATGAAACATAAACATTTGGATAAATGTGAGAAACACGCATATATACAATGAATAGAGATCTCAAATAAGTCATCCTTTTGAGCCTGTATCTGTACATAAGCTCGGTCCATACCAAAAGAGAGCCCGTTAAAAAATAGCCTACGCAAATTTTGTTACTGTACTATGTTCTCGAAGAAAACTTGTTAAATATTTGCATCTACTTCGTTCTGGGGTGTTTTTTTAAGTTAAATCTTAAAAGTTATATATATATATATATATACTAATAAAAGTTAAAGCTATATGCTTTTCAAGGCGTCCGCATCAGCATTCAAAAATAAGGAAATTTTCCAATTTTTAATATTATTGTTAAATAAGAAAATTAAGAAAATTTACAAATTCTAATATTATTTCTGAATAAAGAATTCTGTATAATATTTTTATTGGTCCACCTCAACATTGAAAATTAAAAAGTTTCCAATTTAATTATTGTTTTTAAAATTATTAAAGATAAATAAATATTAAAAACTAAAATAAATAATATTAACATAAGAAATTTTAAATTCAAATTAGATGTATATACACATATTTAAAGGCTCTTACAATATCATCCAAATTTTTGTGACATAACTATAATAATTTTTAAGTTTTTTTTCTATATGTTCAACCATTTCAAATAAAAAAAAAACATAAAATAGAGTCAGATTTCATTTAAGAATGAGTCATTAAAAAGAGAGTGTAAAATCTCCAAATCTTTGCCACCGAATTTGAAAAGAATGATAAATTTCAAATAATCTGAGAAACATGTAAAGTGATTGATATGCGACACTTTTGAAAAACGAAGCACTAAAAATAGAAAAAAAACTTCCTTCATTAAGATGAAAGAGATTAAAGTACCCAAAGAAGATTTTTGAAATAACATGATATTTGATGGGGTTTTCACAACCCAACCTGAACCATAAAAATAACAATTAGCTGACTAATCAGCATTAGAATACATTCGGTAAGCCTCAAAACAAGGAGGAGAGACCAAAATCATTTGCCGCAACGCGCCTCGTATAGGATCTTCCACCTTTAATTTATAAATCTATCACTAATAAAAGTTAAAGTTATATGCCGCTAAAAATGCTCACATATGATTTAAAAGTTTAATTTTATTTATCAACATCACTTTTTAAAATTAAAAAATTTCCAAATTTTAAAATTATCACTAACAAAAAAATTATATTTATAATAAAAAATAAAATTTGAAGTTATATGCCTTTAGAATATCCACATTAGATTTAAAAGATCAATTTTATTAATACAGATTAATAACTAAAATTAAAAAGTTTCTAAATTAAAAAAATTACATTGTTAATACAAAAAAATAGAGAAAAACTTGTTAATTAAAATTATTCTATTATTAGTAACAGTTAAATATACATTATTATCAAGGCATCCATATCAGTATTTAAAAAATCAATTTTATTTATATATATCAAAATTGTAAATTAAAAAAAATTATAATTCTAATATTATGGTTAGGAAAATAAATTAAAAATAAAGAAATCTCTATTAACAGAAAAAAACAACATGATATTAAAATTTCTTCTAACTTACAAATTTAATTTTTTTTATCTATTAAAAATACATGCTACTTATACAAGCTTAGGTTACTTGATTATAAGGTTTTTCACCAAGAATTTCAAATAATAATAATTATTTAAAATTTTTAATATATGCAAAAAATATTTCCACATAATCTCATGTAATATATTATGCAAAAATGATCAAAAAATTATATTTTGTATATTTGACTTGGAATTGCAATAGATTAATGTAAAAGTTCTTAGTTTTGAGTTATTCAATTAGTTATTTCATTTTTCTAAATTTGTATGTATTAAAATGTACCAGTTTTTCCTACTTAATTATAATTCGAAAAAGTGAGAATGAATATGATGAAACTGAATATAATCATAAAAAATTATTAAATTAAATAAATATGATATATTCAATAAAAAAATAGATATAACAATAATAATAATGAATATAATGAAAAAAAATTTCATTCTTATTAGAAGAGATGCCGTATAATCATTGAAAAATTATTTAGAAGTTTACACAACCAATTGACATAAATATATTTAATTCATAAAGTTTGTGTAATTTTATTCATTTCATATTAATTCAACTATTGTTTACATTTCAATTTTAAAGTTTGTTATTAATCTCAAAACAAACATTTTATTTATTAGTTTGTTTTTTAAATTAATATATCAAATAAAAATTTGTATTGGTTAAACAAGAGAAGAAAAAAGATTAAATTTTAAATTTGATTGTTTTTAATTGTTTAAAAAAACGCATCTGTAATTGGAATAAAAGTGAAAAATGATTAAAAAAATTATCTTCTTGATTTATGGAAGTGAATGTATAATATTTTATCATCATGTCAATAATATGTTTAAATATAGCATTTGATTAATTTGTAAAAAAAATAATTGGTTTGGGTATATTAACTTAAAAGTGTTTGACAAAATAATACGTTTTTGAAATATGACATATTGTATATAGATTTAAAACAAACCGTTAAAACTTCACAATTTACATAAAAATTATTAGATTAACACCATAATATTTTTAATATATTGTTAAAATACTAATATATAAAATTTATATATTAATAAATATAATTGATTGCATATAAATTTTATCCACAAACTATCCACGCGTACGTGGATGCAAAATCTAGTATAGAAAAAAATTAGAAAACAATAGTGTATAATGTGTATTATATAATAGCTTCTTAATATAATGAGTATGAAACTTTAAGGCTTACAGCTAAAATTCATCAGAATAATTAGTTTTTAAAGAAAATGCTAAAGAAATAACAACTTGAAAATGAATTCAACAACTAACTCGTTCGAAAGGTACATTAATTACATTCTCCTAGGAGACAGGAACTCTAATTATCTTTCTCCCTCTCTCGATCTACGTCACATTTTAATGTTAGAGTCTTTTCCATGACCAAACAAAGAATTTTTCCTTTTCCAGTCGGCATTCCTAACCAGATATTTGACGACTAATAATCTTCAAATCTATAAAAATCTAGCTCTGTAAGTTAAACATTTCGCACTTTTTTTTAACGAATTATAAATTGCTTAGAGTTTGTTTTTTTCTACAATAAATATATAGGAGATATGCTATGTATAAAAAATAAGACATATACTCCGTCTGAATATATTTTGATTCAATGCACTGCGATGATAATACTCTCCATTCAATGCACTGCGATGATAATGCTCTCCATTTATAATATTAGATAATTTATACTTCCTTCGTTTCACAAAAAATGTCATTCTGACATTTTTCACATTTATTAAGAAAACTATTAAAAACATTATTTTGTCGTTTATTAATATATTAAATAATTTTTTTCTCTAATTAATACATTAAATTAATAGGGTCAAAACTAAAATATTGTTTAAAATTCTGCATTAAAAATATAAAACGACACGCTTTGTGAAACAAAAATAAAATCTTAAAACGATACTCTTTGTGAAACGGAGAAAGTATGATAGAAACCAAGCATATATACTTAAAACAAAATCTTCTAGATGAGGATATTTTTATTTATATATTTTTATGGACATTAATATTATCGACCACATGATTTGGATCCTTGACATGATATATATACTTTTGTATTATTTTCTGAGTAATTTGAAGCCTCGTAAATATAAGTCATTGATAAGCAAAGGACCCCCAAAAGGGGTTGGGTGAAATGTCTTTGTAACTTAAAAGTGACTATTGGTGTATTGACATAATAACAAGGGACACTCACACGAACCAATAATAATTTATTTGCAAAACTTCTTTAACATCAACCAATAGTTCCCCATGGAAAAACAAATATCCCTATTATAAACTAATACGAAATGCATGAATATATTTGCCTAATTAGATAATTTGATTCGAGTTCATATTGGACTGACAAATTTGGTGGGTTTAGGTGACGGTTTTTCAATTTCCATTTTTTCGTGTGGATAAACTAAATAAACATATTTTAAAAAAAAAAAATCTTGATAATACTAAAACGTATTTCTAATTCTGATTAAGCATCATTCATTTTCTATGCACTGCGATGATAATACTCTCCATTTGAAAGAACAAAAACAATCAACAGCATGCATGATGACATCATGATTACTTTTAACCATTTAATTGTAAAACTATAATTTACTATCTTTTATCAATGGCGATTAATATACTCTTCAAACAACCCAACACACTATATATAAAAAAGGAGTATATTTTTTTTTTGATAAACAAAAAAATAAATATATTACTATACCAAATGAATAGATTATTAAATTCAGGCATCAAATTCTGATGCTCTGGATTCACGACAATAAATATTTCAAACTTGCTGAACTTAAGACAAAACAAAATCTCTAAATTAATGGTTTCATTAATATGCGGTCATTATATAATCTACTTTCAAATGGGTATCCAATATCCAAAATCTCAACCAAGAAGAGGAAAACTAATTCGATGACATAAAAAAGAGAACATTTTGTCCTCCAATCACTTTGTTTCCTTTCCAATTGTAGTGTCGCTATTAACACAACTTGCACTAAATATAGTAATGTTTAAAATGTGACCTATTTAATTTTCCCAACAACAAATTTATTTCGATTCTCGTTTTTGTATTAAAATTGATGTAAAGATTATTGAGCTCTACTGATTATCGATTCTTGAAAGTTGAAACTGTATGTTTTTGAAAGTGCTAAGAAACTAGTAGCTCATTTTAGGACTGATTTTTGTTTTGTTTCAAACTAAGTGTTGTTTTCAATTTTCCATACATAATTTTAGACAAAATTCTAGTTTAATTTTATTATTGTAATGTATTAATAAGAAAAAGAAAATTATGTAGTGTATCAATAAGGAATATAATATAAAATTTAATATATTTTTATTAATTTATGTGAAACAATAAGGTGGTTCTAGTCCTGTTTTTATTTATTTAGTGTATCAATAGGTGTTTCTAGTCCTGTTTTTATTTATGTAGTGTATCAATAAGGTGTTTCTAGTCCTGTTTTTATTTAATTTGACAAAAAAAGAGAGGTTCGCTGAATAAATTTACCAGTTATTTACAGAGTAAAATAAAATTTAGCATTACATATAGATAGAACTATGGATCAAAGGCAAAACATCTCACAATGCTCAAAAAATTATTCACCAAATTATCAAAGTAACTAAGACGGAACAAAATCAAATTAGATAGGATCGATGATTATATATGAAAACATTTTGATTATACGAATTAAACCAATTATTTAACGTTTTATATGTATTTTCACGTAACACTGATAGGTCTAATATTCGATTCCGAAGAGTGATGGGACGCAAGCTTCAACTCAAGATCGAGTCCACCGGAATTTCCCGACCCGGATATTTTCGGATCTGGATATCCAAGACGAGGATTGAGTAACCCTTGTTTCCAAACAACATCTGTGGTCGACCCAATGTGATTATTACATGGAATAGTACTATTTTCTTCAACGTTGATGGCTGAAACCTGTTAAATATATAAACCGACAATTCAAGATTTTGTTTCGAATGATTCAGATCATCAAGAATTATGTATTCATATATATATACTTACTATTTATATCGTGGTTATATTAAAGTAGAAATTCGATTTTTTTTTTCTTCTAAATTTGAACATCTTAAGTGGTAAACAAATTTGAGAATTTTTTGTTACTAAAACAACATCAAAATTTCCGCTTTCATCAACAAAAACAACATCAAAATTCTGTTTGAAATTTGAAGATGTGACATTTTTCTGATATGGAGTTTTCTTTAAAATATTGTTATTGTTTATTTGCAATACCAAGATTTTTAAATTATATTTGTGTTATGTATAGAAAAAAGATTGGAACTTGCCATATCGAAGAGGCTTGTACGGCGTCTCTTGTGATGGAGAGTGGTAGCTTGCCGGAGGAAGTATTTTTGAGCATGACTTGCCACTTGTGTCGGCGATTTTGTGACGACGAATTTTCTAGATATTCCTCTCCAGTCTCCTTTTCCAAGCTTCTCTAATCCAATTAGAAACGTCCGGTGCTCTTCCTCCGTCCATGGAACCCCTAATCATCAACAAAACAAATCTAAAATCCGTTTAAAAAATAAAAAAAAATCAATTATAAACATCCGGTGCATCAATTTTTTTCCTATTGTGAAATATATATGTATATAGCGGTGGTGCTTCTGGTAAAGTCTGAAATTTAGTATAAATTTATTTTTTAAAATCTAATCGATTAATTGACATGGATCGGAAAAGTTAATTTGAATTCTGTCACATGTCTTCCTTTTATGAGAAGCGTCTAAATTTATACAATAAGATATTTCATAACTTTAACATACGTCAAACCAATCATAATCCAACGGAAAAAAAAAACAAACAAAAATGGAGAAATATGTTAAAGTTCTAACCTTTTTTGCGGTCGGGTGTTTTGTGGGCGAGACCATCGGAGAGATAACCACAGAAGGAAGAGGAAGAAGAGGAACATGCCGGCAAGCAATCCATGCTAAAGCTTTTTTTCATTGCGGTGGCCAAGATTGACAGAGGAGGAGGAGGTGGTGGCGGAGAAGAGCATGTAGTGTCTAGATGAACACCAAAGAGCCTAATGGCTCTTGTTTTGTAAGAAGAACATGTTCTTGAGTTATGTCCTATGTTTCCACAGTGTGAGCATCTTCTGCCCATTGTAATGAATGTGAAAGAGAGAAGGAGGAAGAGGGAGAGAGGGAGAAAGAGACGCAGAGATGATGTTGATGATGAAGAGAGATTTTGGGGTTTATGTAAAATGGTGGAGAGCATAGAGAGAGAAGATGATTGGATAGACCAAGTTTTTATTATTATTGGAGGGTTTTATAATTTAAATTATGCAGTCCAAGTTGGTGTTTACCTATTTTTAGCCAATAAGAAGACGAGCTTACGCTGAAAAACAAAAGGGGGAAAATATGTCTTTATCAGTGGGGTTTTATCATTATCATGGACTAAAATGTAGATTCTAATCTAATTGATTTGTGCTCATAAAAATGAATCTGATTAATCTTTAACGGAGTCTTTTATTGATATATATATCAATCTTCATATTTGTATTTAGTAGAATCTGTAATTTAAAGAGAGAACGAGATAGCCATAACAAGAATGGGATATAAATATATGTATTTTATATCATTTTGCAAAAGAAATAAAGCTTTGTGCTTGAGAGACAGAGAAAAGACTTGGATCCTCCAATAGTTTTGGGGAAGTAGGTAGTTCGATGACCTAATAAAATGTGGACAAATATAACATAAAACTAGAACTAATTTCCTATTTTGTAAAATAGAGAAAAACGACAGCCTGGTCTAGTTTATTTGAAATAAAAGACAAGTCTTATATAGTAATCGGTTTTGTTTGATAGAATATAGTTTGGATCTTATGTTTTTCCAATATAAGTTGGACGGAATAGTCATACACATATTTTATTTTATTTACAAGATTGTCTGATTTGCTCAAATATTTGTAGTCGATAACATTATTAATTATTAATCAATAGCAGACAAAGCACTACTACCCAACATGCATTTAACTATTGATTGTTTATGGTTAGAATTGGTCGCAATATAGAGATTCTATTGCTAAGTTCGGCATGTCGAGTTAGTAATTATTATTGAAGGACAATGATGCGGATTCATATTAAACATATAATAATCTAATAATATTAATATATTTTTATATATAAGTATTCTTTTTCAAAGTGACTTAAACTTATAGTGGATTTCGGTGAAGATTCGAATGAGCAAGAAGAATGTCACGACCGGAAAGGCTTCACGGTACGACACATTATGTAGAAAGCCGGTAATTTTTTTGTTTCTTTTTTGGTTTTAGCGGTAAGATTATTGAAACTTATATAAGCCGTTTAAGGTTTGTTATTAATTATTATCCACAAGTATCATTAAAAAATACCTCGAAAAAATAATACGTGTTTGCCTAAGTTGTGATTCTATCTTGTTTTAATTTGTTACACAGCTTACATCGATCGTATATAGTTTACATACTTGTAGATTCATGAACTTGTTAAAAAAAAAGAAGTAGATTCATGTTGATCCTATAGTTATCTACTGATGTTGATTCCATCCAAAAACATATACAGTAATACAATATGATGAGGGATTCATGTTGATATTATAATATGCTATTAATGTTGATTTTATCTTCTATTACATACAGTATAACATCTATAAATTACTATTCGATAAATTAATACATTTCTTAAATCTCAAATTAGTTTTTAGATTGATTTTTATATCGATATATTAATAACTTGATAAACTAATAAAATATTACAGTTCCGATATTATTAATTTATAGAAGTTTAACATATATGATTTGGATTCATATCTATCATACAATAAATAATATTGTAATGTTGATTCCCTTTTTTTCAAATATTAAAATGTTGATTCATATGTGGACATGGTGGGGATTCATGATTTATCAAAATAGTAGTCGACTTATGTTGATTTATTCTACCAACATATAATAATACGGTTACTAAAATTCTAGTCTAATGAAATTTTCTTTAGTGAAGTAGGTCAATGATAGAGTATTAATAGAAATAATAAAAATAGTAACATATTAAATAACTCAAGAGAGCAACTCACAATAGCCTTTGCAGCCGTTCATCAGCTCGCAACCTTTCAACAACCTCAGTGATCGTAAAGATGACATTATATATAATCAGGAATCTTGAGGGCAGCTTCTTAAGAATCTTTTAACAAAAACAAAAAAAACTTCTTTAGAATCTTTAAGAGTATAACATTTATCAGCAAATGTTTATTCCATATAGAGAAGCCGATATATCCATTGATTCTTAAATGTTTCTGTCTCTTAACCAATTCTTCTTTCATTAAAGTCCTCATCTTGATACTCCAAAGCTCATAGTCTTCTCCAATAATACACACCCGGAACAAGCTGTCGCATCTGAGTTGGAGTCTCCATATAGCTATGCTTCTTTCTTGTTCTTGTTGTCTCTGAGTTAGCTCTTGATGAAGAGATACAAATGAAGATGAAGCAAAAGAAAACGATACAAGCAACTACATATCCACAAAACTAAACACAAGTTTCTCATTTTCTATTCAAACATACAAAAAAGTCCTAAAGATCCTAAACCTCAGAAGCCAAAATCCTTAATTTCATGAGATTCTGTAAAAGAGGGATAAGATTTCAACAAGATCAAAGATATTGAGCTAAGAAAACTTGATTTTCCTTTGATTTCTAGTTAACTATGAACAGAGATTGTCAAGAACTTAAAGAACCTGTGCTTGTAAATTAAGATTACATGGCTGTGCCACTGAGAGAACTCGTAGCTTTAGGAATAATGAGCGGAAATACGATCTTGGGTTTGTGTCGGTACGAAATCGATACTTACTACTCTGTTCTTCATTGTTTTAAGAGGAAGAAAAGAGAAAGAATCTCTGTTTTCACTTCTTTTGCTGAGTCTCTGTTTCTTATGTCTGTTATAAGAATTAAAGTCCACCTAACAGGCTTCAACATTTTTAACTCATAAATAAAACATCTCAATGATAAGATATGATTTAGTCTGTCAAATATTTAGTTTTCTTTTGTACATATTCGGATCCCTAACTTCTCGTAATTGATTTGTACATCTTGTATTATATATTGAGAGCTGAATAGAAGTGATGGCTCAAGGGAAAATATTCTCACTTTCATGGTATCAGAGCCTTCTAGATCTGTACCTCTTCCCTTCTCTCTTGCTTTCGCTCAAACTCTTTTCTCTTTTCTATCTCTTAATTTTCCATTTCTTAACTCTCTGTCTCAATGGCTGCTAATCCAGCCTCTCTTGAACGTGCCTATGGTGTCACTAACATCAAGTCGCACATTTCCATCACTCTCGACATGGACGACCACAACTACGATGCTTGGAGGGACTTGTTCCTCACTCACTGCCTCACCTTCGACGTTCTCGGCCACCTTGACGGCACAAGTCTTCCCGCGGACGACAACGATGCACCATGGAAGAAAAGAGATGGTCTTGTCAAGCTTTGGATCTACGGCACTCTCTCAAAGGATCTTTTCCGGAGTGTGTTCAAAACTGGTGGATCCGCTAAAGACATCTGGGTCCGCATTGAAAACCTGTTCCGTGATAACAAAGAAGCCCGAGCAATCCAGTTGGACAATGATCTCCGCAACAAAGTGATTGGGGATCGATCTGTTCATGACTACTGCCAAGAACTCAAATCCATCTCAGATCTGCTTGAAAACGTTGATGCTCCTGTCTCGGAGAGAACGCTCGTCACCTACGTCTTGAATGGTCTCAACGCTAAATTTGACAACATCATCAATGTTATCAAACACCGTCAGCCCTTCCCGTCGTTCGACGAAGCCAGATCCATGCTGATGCTCGAGGAGAATCGCTTGAAGAAAGGTGTTTCACCACACCCCAACAACAACGACAATTCTTCTTCCAACACTGTCCTCGCTGTTTCAGGGCCCACTCCACCTCAGCAATCCGCTCCTCGCTCAGACACTCCACAACGATTTAACAATCGTGGCAACCGCAAAAGCAACAAGTTCCGTTGTCGCAACTCCTTTCAGCCACGAAACCCATTCCAGCAATGGACTTCACCTTTCTGGCCTGGATTTCTTCCACCGTGGCAACAACAACAGCTCCAAGCTTGGACTCAGATGCCACAACCAACACACAACAGTACTGGAATTTTGGGTCAAAGACCTTCCCATGCTACCCCTCATCAGGCACATCTTGCTGGGTTTGATCAGTATGCACCCACCGTTGATTTTGCTCAGGCTTTCAACACAATGACTCTCACAGATCCAACTGACAACCAGTGGTACATGGACACCGGTGCTACAGCGCATCTCACGGCCAACCCAGGTATTCTTAAGTCTTCTTTTAATTCTGGCATTGGAAAATCAGTCGTTGTTGGTAACGGGTCTCAAATTCCAATCACCTCTTCTGGTTCTCTCTCTATTGCTTCTAAAACTCGATCTCTGTCTCTTAAAAATGTTCTTGTTACCCCTTCCATAATCAAAAATCTCATTTCTGTCCGTCAATTTACTAGAGATAATTCTTGTTCTATTGAATTTGACCCATTCGGTTTTACTGTGAAGGATCTTCAAACTCGGAGAATAATACTCCGCAGTGACAGTACCGGTGATCTCTATCCCGTTTTTCCTTCCACCAATAAAGCTTCTCCGCAACACTCAGCTTTCATCTCTGTTCCTTCCCATGTTTGGCATCAGCGTTTAGCTCATCCAAGCAATGACACTTTGAATTCTTTAATTTTACACTCTGTTTTTCCCTGTAATAAACACAGCATCTCGTCATGTAATGCTTGTGAACTTGGAAAACAAATAAAACTTCCTTTCTTTGCTTCAAATAAATCTGTTGATGCTCCTTTCGATTTAGTCCACTCTGATGTTTGGTCATCGCCAATTCCAAGTCTAAGTGGCATTCGATACTATGTGTTATTCCTAGATCACCACTCCCATTTTCTATGGGTTTATCCCCTTCGTCACAAAAGCGATGTGTTTTCCAAATATTTGCACTTTGCAAACTATGTTAAAACACAATTCCATAGAGACATAAAATCGTTCCAATGTGACAACGGTGGTGAATACAATAACACTCAGTTCCGCGATTTCTTCGCATCTCAAGGCACAACAGTTCGTTTTTCATGCCCTCATACATCCCAACAAAATGGGAAATCTGAACGTATGATTCGCACGTTAAACAATGCCATTCGATCTCTTCTCTTTCAAGCTAATCT